AGGGATGGTAAGTTCCGTGACAGTGACGTGCACTGAGTTGGCCAGATTACGAAACGTAATACAGATGTGGACCAGAGCTCCGATATAGCGTTTTTTGCAAGTGACCCCATTTTGTTTAGCAATCAAGAACGAACAAGTAGTATCAATAAAGGCAAGCGGCAATAATTACCATTTCTGACTTGCTTGAGCCGTCCTTCGGTCGTACTCTAATCTTTTGGCAGAAGACTCTGAATTCGGCCCAACTGTTCACGTGTCCTACCACTTGAGTCACGTGTTCATGTCCTGTAGGCTACGATCGGGAATATTGAAGCCGTGTAAGCCGCCGCAAACTAGTTTCATTCCAAGGCAGTGCAACTTTAGAACCAATTTGCTCTGTATACAAATAAAACAGTCTCACTATACTCCCACTGCGGATGCTAGTTTAAAGCTGAATCGATAGAAGGTTACGTTCAATGATCAAATGGTAGCTGTTTAAATGTAAGGTCTCCCGACTTCGGATGGTGGTATAAGTTGCTGGCCAAAGAGGATAAATAAACCAGTAATGTCTATTCTAAGTCTTCCTTGACTTGGTTATAACTACTTCACCATAGCGTGTTAGCTGGTTGGCCAGCATGGTACAAGGTCAACTATACAGACTTGCAAGATGCGATTTGCAATCGCTGGAACATGAGGATAAAATTGATGAGGCCACAAGGAGGGCCGTATTTATAGGACGTAGTTCCCATGCCGCTATGCGCCGCTCGCATCCTCCCCAAGACAGCTACGCGCAATTGATCAGGTTGGCTCATTATGTTAAATAATAACGCAGCTCGCCATGTATTTGTAAATTAACAGAGAAATTAGAACTAATAGGATAGAAAAAAAGCCTTAGGAAATCTGAATAGAGAAAAATGGATATTCATAGAGTCTGTGGTATTTTACGGCTCAAAAAATGTAAAACCCGCAAGTAAACGTATCACAAAAGTAAAAAAACACTAACTACTACAAAAAGAAATTAAAAACGCTGTTAACTTCAAAATTGACAGCTTTTGACGAAGATTATAAATAGTTGACTGTCTAGATAACAATGACACATGTCGCTTAGCCTCTTACATGCTAAAAAATAAAAACAAAAGGACTGAATAGCAAACAGAACCACGCGGAAACTCGACGTTTCAAGGTAGCGAGAAGGGTTTACTAGATTAGACAAAGCATAGACTAAACAGCGACCCTACCAGTCACGCGTGTAATCTCAGAAAGTTACGCGCATGCGGTTTCGGATACGGGAAGACGCGTCTTACCGACCGAGTTTTTGTCGCGACTTCGTGCTGGGCACTGAAATGGCAGCCCGTCCCCGTTTCTGGTTCCTTAAATCACGTCTTTGATTTGCTGAATTTACAAGAGCCCTTTGAAAATATTTGCTAAGTTCACACACACAGCGCGCAAATATGCAAACGCACACGGAAACTGGAAATAAGTTACACCTTCAATGTGTCACATAATTATTTACACCATCCAGGTTGCATCGGGCCTGTGTAACACATGCTTAAGAGCGTGTTGTGGAGGACATAACAAAGAGAATGACATCTTGTCATCGTTTCTATGCCAGACAGGCTGAAACACGTGCCTGGCCAGCACTTACTCTTACCATACCATATAGAAGGCAGGTTATTCCGAGCAATCGAGACCGAGACGAGCTAACCCACTCCAACCATTTCTGTCGACGTTTACGAGCATATGAACA